CTTACTTGCTCTCAGCTTTGAATGTTCCCTTACCCAGCCCACTTTTTTATTTTATAATATTTATCTTTACTTTTTGGTGGAAATTTGCTGGCAACTGTAATTCATCAATTCAATATTGCCATTTGCATTGTTCTCTCGTACATGTTAAAGCTGTTCAACAAAAAAAAACATGGCAGGAGAGAGAATCAATGGTTGCTCCTTTCAATTTTCTACTCATGACATACAACAAATTGCATTACTCTTCAACCTCTTTAATTGACCTTTCATCCTCATCTCAAATCTTCAGCAATTCATCAAGAAACATCTGATAACCCCTAAAAACCTTGATCAATACACATACCTTCAAAACTTTTTAATGAGGTTTAAAGAGATTGAAGGAGCAAAACCTTTCCTTTGGCTCCAAGATCATTAGCAAAAAGTTCAAGAAGACCATCAATCATATGTTGGCAACAGAGTTTTCTAATAATGAGTCCATTCTGGTGTTGTTTTTCTACTGAATATACTTAATGGACTTTAAGCAGTGTTCATTATAAGTTAAATATTATTGAAGTCATTATTTAGCTTTTTATTTTCTTTAACTTTTTTCTTTTTTTTTTTTTTTTTGCTTTCTTCAATGTAAATTGTCTAGATAATGAGAATGAAAAAAGCTCTTTTTCATCAAATTATTTCAATAGAAAACATACGTGTATTTGCAGCTGCTTGTAATTTTTTTCTGGCTTGTTTCATTTCTGCTTATTTAATTTTTTTTTTCTGAATGCTTGTGAAGATACTCATCTTGTACATTTTTTTCTTTTTCTTTGCATCAGCTTTTATCTTAATCCTCAGAAATGCTCGGCTTTTAACACGTAATTAACTTAGGCACACGGCACAATACAAATTGTTAAAAGGATATTGGCCGAAAAATGCCTGTGTGTCGAGAGAGGAAATGTCAGCCCCAAAGTCCGTCCTCCCGCTGGTTTAATGAACTTTGGGGTGTCGCGGATTAATTGGGACCCCTTGGCACTGCGAAGGCCTGTGACAGTTGAACCCAAAAAATGTCCAATTAGATATCTGGTCAACCCAATTTTGTCACATTTAACAATGTCACTTGTGTTCCTTGTGAAAGAAAACTTGTTATGACTAAGCACAGGAGAAGATAGGAGGGGCAAAACATGAAAAAAAAATTATGAAAAATTTGGTCAATCCACACTGGCACATATTTAGCAAGTGAAAGATAAATAAAGAAGTTGTTTTCATAATCAGATTTAAACAAATCTAGAGGGGGAAAATGTGTTACATTTCTGCTATTGCTAGTTTTACTGGCATAAGTTCTTCTTTTGGTTTGCAGTGCTTCAAATGAAAACGTTATCTTTGAGGCCATTTTGAAGAGAATTAATTAGCTAAAATATTGACTGACATGCCAATTACACTCCCCTGACCACACCCACCTTCCACAGGAGGAAAAAATTCATACAAGTATGACTGACAGCAGGTATTCATGGCATTCACTTAAAACACAGATAATAACTTTTCCATAAGCACAGTAACTGTAATGAACTTTCACTTAATGTGGACACTTTTAAACCCAATAATTTGTATATTGCAAGGCTTATACCTCGTGCTGCATGTTTGTGATTGCAATTACCAAATTAACGACTTAAACTAGACTTCATGATGGGAGTGAAGAAACACCACATGAAAGCTGGCCAAATTGTTTGCAGAGAAGATATGTTCGAAGGGGAGTTATGCAAAGTTTACTGTATTTGCAAGAGGTCTGTGCCAGTCCATATCTGTCAAATCTTTGGAAAGTAAATGGCAAGCCAGTGGCGGAAATTGGTGGTCAAACCCTCTACAAACTTTTACGGTATCTCTGGTATGACATCGAACTGATGGCAAGAGATTTGTAACGCCTGTGACCTCGGTGAAAAAATCTAGTGAAAAAAGCCGGTGAAAAAAAAAAAAAAAGCAGTACTCACATGTCAACTATTTCACACTTTGTGGGAATATTTTCATAAGTTCCATGTCACAGAGTATGGTGCCTGAACTGCTGTTTTAACTAATTACTGGAAACAGTTCTTGTTAGCTTGTTAGCATATTGATAGCCGAGTATGAGAGAGAGAGAGAGAGAGAGAGAGAAAGAGAGAGGGGGATATCATTCTGGGACATATTTAACTCCAAAACTCTAAACCAAGACATCAGCACTAGCACCAGCAATTCAAACTTCCCACATCTCTTTTATCTTTTTAAAAGTTTTCTTTAATGACACCAAACAACATCCAACTTGACTCCACATCTCTCTTATCTAAGTTCTTTTTGGATGGTTCAATTTCTTTAGATCTTCCCTCCCTGTAACAAGAGACCCATCTGATCAGATTTATCTTCTGTGCCAGTAGAAAGGTGGGAGGATTCCGTCTGACCTAACAGCAGTGTCAGCGCACAGGGCGTGAACATAGACATCACCCGACACTTCCTCAATCATCAAGACAATTACCGAGTGTCTGGAAGTGCATACACGCCACTGCTAATTCATTAAATTCACCCCATCTTCATCTTTTGATGTCATGGGAGATACTGTTTGGTCATACAAATACAGTCTGAAGATTCCAAATATCTTGTCATATTATTTTGTAAGTACAACAATTTTCTTTTTTATCTTCATTCTGTTGACATGACAGATACCCTTTTTTGTATTATTATTATTATTATTATTATTTTTTTTTTTATTATTATCATTATTATTATTATTATTATTATTATTATTATTATCTTTGACAGAATAAAAGCCATATTTAAGATCCCTAATGCCTTGCTATATTCTACCAAGAATAAACCTTTTTTTATTTTGCTCAATTATGTGAAAGCTGAACTGATATTTGTTTGATTTTCTTTACACAAATATTTATACATCTTTAATTGGATATTTTCATATCAGCTCTTATGGTAATTTTTAACAGATTTTTTTTCTTCAATTAATTTATTTGCAACAAGATGGCGTCAAATACACAAATAACTAAAATTTCAATATGTTTAATAAAATTGCCATCATTCTCACCTTGCTATCTTTTAAAAGAATCTCCTCCCAGCAGGATCAAATTCCTCAATCTTATTGTCACTTAATAAACTTGGCAGACGATCTTCTCAACTCTTCTAAACCACTTTTCAGAGCCCTATCTGCAACAAATCAATTAGTTAATTAATTAATCAGTCAATATAATCAATTAACTAATAAACCAACTTGCTAACTTAACAAATAAATAAATAAACAGAAGTGAAATCAAACTTAAAGGACATTGACTTCACAAAATTTTGATTTCTGCCCACAAACACATCAAACAAATTTCTTTCTCTATCATTCCAATAATCACACAAAATATGTTTAATTGGATTAATGTTTTACTGTTGACACAATCCAATGTTATGAAACCGGTCCAAGACACTCAATATAATTCTGGCCCTTAAACAGCCAGGTACTAGAAGCAGTGTCTCAAATACAGGGATCGCAGAGAGCTGCATTTTGTGAAAATAAAGTAAAAATGCCTGCCCTTACAAATTTCCTTAGTGCAATAAACACTTATAACTTGCCTCTTGGCAGAAAATTATAAGTTCTACAAAAAACATGTGTCTGTGCAGGTGCAACATCTATTACGTAAACCATCGCTCCGGTTTCCTCACTACACCGCAACGCAATGCAACTCAGCATGCAGAGAGTGAATCATTCACTTTAACTCGAGTCATGTGTACCTGCCAAATTTTCGCACCCCCTCTCCCCTACACCCCCCCCCCGGCCCCCCCTTTCTCTCACCTCACTCATGCTCGTTAGTTTCCCAACCTACAAAATCTCTTCAGACAAATGCCTTCACATGCCCCAACCAATGAAAACCTGTAAGACAAAATGGCTTCAAAAGTTTCATACTGAATACCAGATGAAACAATTCTGAAGACTTATCAATCATGTTGACATAAAGTAGTGAAGAATATCAAACAGCTATTAAACAATTTTCATCTATTATCACTCATCCATTTCTCAGATCACTACAATCAGTTATTAAACCACTGAAAGTAAAATCTTGTAACTTCTTTTGTTTTTTTCAATTGTTTCAGATTATTATATTAAGTTATTTTCACCATTGGAAGAAGTATGATCTATTTCCAAGCTACCTCCAATAAACTTCTTCGGAGTATCCAGTCACCTTACTTAATTCAACACCTGGGCTGTGCCACAAAACTTCTAATCCAAGCCATGGATAACATTACACAGCATGCTGTAATGTGACACCCAAAACACCTGGATGCTTATCTGTCCTATCTAATTTAAATTCAAAACAAAGCAGCAAAGCTGTCAAATGTACAGGCATAAAGCAGAAAATAATGATCGCACTGTACAAAATAATATGACATAATGCTTAACAGTATCACTATCACCTCATTCTTTGTAAATGTTCAACTTGCATTAAATGACAGTTTAATTCCAAACACACTTCTCATTTCTTTCCTTCATCCAATAACTAGCTCTTCCACTTGCACACAAACTCTTGAACTCAAATCACCACGATGCACTTGTATCTTTTTTTATTGCCACCACGCTGAGATGTCAACTAACTCAAGTATTCTCCAGAAATGCTGCTTCTGTCTTGCTGCATACAGACGTCCCTTTTATGTTTAGCAGTCCATTCTCTTTGCAGTTGAGAGGCCATTTTACACAATAACAAACTCCGAAAATTGGGCTAAAATTTCACTTTACTTTGTTATACATGTATATATACTTCTTTATATATTAAGCAGCAATATATGCTAAACCTGCTTTATAAAAAAAGACACAGCTATTACATTTAACCCATATGCTCTGTATTCATTATTAAAGGTGTATTATGGATTTAACAGAGAGAGAGAGAGATGGGAAGGTTTTCTTGTCTTCTTCATTTTTTTTTTTTTTTCTGAAAGTTGACATTTTTATTAAGACTGGTGGTATCATATCCAGTAGACAGTATCGACTTCTACTGACTGGGACAGACTGTGGAGCAATTGTACTCCCAGTGTCACCATACTCTTTATTAAAGATGCCAGTCCTGATAAATGAAAATTTGGATTATTGATGAAAATCAAGGGAGGTTTCTGATTCTGTCTTCCAAAATTATTTGATAAAAATAGAACATTTATCTAAGCCAAATACAAATTCCTATATCTATCAACCCAGAAGGCAAACATTGTTATTTTGTAATAATGTTTATTTTTTCATTTATTTATATTCATTTATTCATTGATTCATTCAGTTATTTATCTATTAATTATTTGTTCATTTTTTGCAGGGGGCATCTCAGCACAATATAACTACATGTAAAAATACTGTATCAGCAAAATATTACACACAGTGCATGCTATGTATCCAGTTTTCATTTCAATTTCCCCACACAATGGTTACACTGTGATCCCTGCGGTAGAAGACCCTAGGTCTACCGCCTGCATCTGATATATGACAAAATGCTCTTAATAAAACCCCACCATCCATCAACTTATGGGAACAAAATAAAGAAAAGAAAAAACTGAGAGACAATAGCCAGAAATAGAGATGCCTCACCAACAGGGTTATGATACTGAAATAAAGAGATAAGAATATGTCCGATTTAATTCTGGGCATATATCGTTATCCTCTTCATACATATAAGACTTCAAATATGGATTTTCATCTTCCTATCCATATTATAACCCACTTATGTCCAGTAGATGCCCCAAACCTGTATAATGTAATTCCCCCACACCATGAACCAGCACTGTCCAACAAGTGCCCTGGGTGTGTATTACATTCTTCATCCATGTCAAGGCCCACAACCCTCTAGCAGGTGCCCTGGACATGTATATATAAGTGTGTGGAGGGAGGAAAGTATTGCTGTCACCCCCAATGGTCTTCCCAAGGTCTTGGCTTACATCGAGGACAATATCGCATGGTTTCCAAGCCATGTCTCTGTTCTCCAGCCTCCCTACCTCTGGCTGCGCGGGGACGATAGGACAGCAAAATAATGAAGATCATAGTGAGATAAAAAAAAAACAAAATTAAGGATGTCTTGGTCATCATTCACAGTCACATTACAGATTCAATGCAGGGTGTGTGGCTATTGGTTCTTGTAGGAAGATATAGAGATACCTGTATACAGGCAGGCACACCTGTGGATTTAGTCTTTTAAATAATCTTTTATTTGCCCATTGATTAACTTTCTCTTTGCTTGCTTGTGTAGGCTCCATATCCACATTTTATTTATTTAATTAATTTATTTATTTATTATTTTTTTGTTTGTTTGTTTGTATATTTACAAGAAAAAGTAAGTCAAACAGTATAAATATTCAAATATTTAAAAAGTGATGGAGGTTTGTATCTGTATTGTTTATGTGGCCAGGGTAAAAACGCGAAGAAAAGATCTAATACTTTCCCCCACGTGCACACACTATCACCGTATAGACATACACACACGCGGAAACTTCTAATTAGCTCATATCAGTACAAATTTCCAATGGTTATTGCAGCACAAAAATGCACATGCACATGCACATGCATACACACACAAGCCAATATATAAACCCAAATGGCCAGTAGTTTTTCCTCTGCCCCCTTTATTTTCTGTTATTGACGGAAGTTACAATGAGATTGAAGGGAGATAGCAAAACAAACATACTTTTACCATAACACAAGTAAATATCACAGCAACACGTGTTAACAACTGAAATGCCAGAGGGTGAACTGACATGCATTATCAAGGCTAACATATATTTCTAATGCTGTTGGTTAGAATGTTAGAAATGTTAGAAGAAGCAAATTTCAAGTCTCATGGGTAAAAAATATATCAGTCTCTATAGAAATGAGTAACTTTTTTATTATCACCACTGTAATATTAAGAATCACTCAAAAAGCTATTTCACTATTTTCTTTATTATGTGGATTTTTTTTCAAGTTAATTTCTATTAACTTAAAGCTAAGTTTCAATCTTAAACTAAGAATGGACTTTCCTACAAATTGAATTTCATTTCATTATGTGTATTTTGGTATGCTTCTTTTATATTTTTAAAATGTCAAACTCTGGATAAAACTTTACCACAAACAATATCTGATAAATCAGATACATTTTAGATAAACAAAATACAAATGATTCCAATGATCAAGATCTGAGTTTCATTAATTAATGACTTACAGATCATATCTGCCTTTGAATTCTTTCAAATTTGATTAACCATTACTTTCAGCATTTACTGAATTTCAACATGCACCAAAAGCCGTTTTCTTCTAAAATAACAACAGCCTTCTCATGTGTTATTTGTTTATGTGGATTCTGTATATCTCTACTCACTGCCATTAAAACAACAAAATAATCCTCCAGAAATTTCTCAAAATTTGCAAACACCTAACCTTAATAATATTCTACTTTTGCAAAATTTATTAATTAGAAGCAACCAATTACTTCTCAGCTCAAAGCAAACTTACTTTTTAAAACTATTGAATAATCATTTAACAAACAAAATGTTTTGGGAAGTTAAAAATTCATGCTGTATAGCTTTATTGAATAGTTATTGTAAACTTTCCAAAGGGCACTTTAATCTTACATATTTTCTATTTAACGATGAGGTGATCTTTTAAATCATCCGTCAATATCAATGTGAGTTAAATTCTGGCAATTTAAGTTGTTTTTTTTTCTTTTTTGGTCTTAGCAAAATACAGAACAAGGTGAGGCAGACATTCTTAGATAAATACAGAACAAGGTGAGGCAGACTAAAGAAAATGCCAAAAAGATATCCAGGTTTCGTAAATACAATTCAATGCTGAAATCTGTGACAGTTTGCCCTATCAATGTGAATCAAATCTTACAATCCACTTCAAACGCATCCCTCATCCAACCCACTTGTTCTAGCCAAGGCTGCTAATCATGGCTGCCAGCTAAAACCAAGCTGCGCCTCTCCCATTGGACGATTTTTTGGCAGGACTTCTTTGAAGTATACATTGCATTCCTGCATCGATTAGTTTTGGTTTGTAAGACTAGGATAATTTCTCTCTCTCCCCTGGTTCCAATCTTTATAACCCTCTTTTATTTATTATTGAGAATGACAGAGGTGAGGCCTTTGCCAAAGAGGTGATTCTGAGAGAGAGAGAGAGAGAGAGAGAGAGAGAGAGAGAGAGAGAGAGAGTGTTTTGGTAAACAGCAAGTTAAAACACGAAAGAACATAAAACTCCAATGAACTTTGCAAAGTTCTAGATTTCTTTTTTTTTTTTTTTTTTACCCTTATATAGCAACTGACACCACAAGTCCCCCCAGTCTAACCCGGCACACAAAAGCTACTTTCATCCCACAACAAATTTCTCTACAAATATTCCTCTGACACAATAACACCAAACAAAACCCAAGCCAAATTAATTTTAAATAAGTTTGTTGAAAAAAGATATCTCAAAGACAGAAGCACTTCAAGTGGAAAATGTTCATTTCACGCTTCCAGTGCCAACAAACACAGGTTAAAACATCCACCTCAATCCTTCACACACGTTCACAGCCATCAAAAACTCCCAATCAAAAAACCATGGACAAAACTGATTTTCTACTGATAATTCATATTCGGGCCAAAATCTGTTATAAATTAGGCCCAGTACATGGATATCAAACAAGCTGAGGGTGTGTTGATCTGACAGAGTTCATGTCCCTCAGGATCTCCTCACAATGACACAAGTCGGGTTACAAACACGGGTTTCTCTTGATCGTCATTGTCTGGCACACTGGGCTGCATACAGTGACAGACAAGGATGATGGTCTTTGTCACCTTGAAATAATTTGATCAGAAATAAGGGTAGATGTGTGAGGAGGGCTTGGGAGGGGGGGGGGAGGGAGATAAGGGTTTGTAAGTACTTCCCTTGTTGCTTGTAAAGTTCTACTCCTCCTTAACCATGCTCTCCCCTAAAACCCCCCTCTCTCCTCCATAACACATCAAAACACCTGTTCCTGGGTATTAAGAGGAGTTAACCAGTATTGCACTACCTTGTTCAGTAATTCAGTCAATTTCTTGAAGATTTAGACACCTGTCCTTGTCCAAAAGTAAAGTCTACATAATCAATAGATTGGAAATACTCAGAACCAATGATACTTATAAAGCATGTCTCCTTTTTTCAGCTGTGCACTTCTCCACACAAAACTGAAACAATTGCATTGTAAAAAAGGGCATAACATTTTTTTACTTTGTCCTCATATCACTTAAAACTTATGCCTTAACATTAACATTTAATTAAACATTCCCCTGTTAAGTATAAACTTTATCTAACTATAATGACTTGTGGAAGGGCACCAAAAATGTGACCCGACAATCTCTCTACCCTGTATCATCATCAATCTTTTCTAGTCAATTCCCCAAAATCAAATTAATTTCAGATCAGCAGGTTCCTGTTTCCAGAATGACCATACATAATAATATCTCTTGGCCTCATCTGTCCTTTCCCTCTGACAATAAAACCTGAAATGTCAGGAGCATGGGAAAAATAAACACATTCCAGCACTAGGTTTGTTGATAACTAGAAGAAATACAATGTGAGTACAATGGTAGTGTTTCCTGTCAACAGGTCAATTACACTGATATAACAAAGTGCATAGGAAATATTGAATGCTTTCTATTTGCCCAATTTCTTTTTTCCCTTTCTTCACAATATAATCGCACGTGTGCACACAGCCATGCATGCATGCACATACACAGTTACATATATTCAACTTCTCATCTTTGCCTTCTACATTGTTTCACCTTTAAGGGCGTATTCCCATAGATTTTAGATCGATCTATCCCCGTGGGGAGTTTCACTAGATTACTGTCAGATAATCCGGCTTAAATGTCCGTCCCGCCTACTACAAGCTGTAAGGGGGGAATTAACGTTTGTGGCCGCTCGGCTGATAGCTATTTAGCGTGAACCCCCAGGGAGTTAGGTCGATCTAGTTTGGATCGATCTAATCTCTGGGAATGGGGTAAAATACAAAGACACTGCTTGCTCTCTCTTCTTCTCTTTCTTTCTCAACTTCTCTCTCTCTCTCTTTCTCCCTCTCCCCCTCTCTCCCTCTCTCTCGTACAAAATATAATATACAAAAGAGGAATCTTCTCTGCCACCTTAAGTATATCTTATTAACTGATTCAGCAATGTCAGGAGAAGATGCTCACCTCCTTCCTCACACTGATACTTCCTCTGTTAATCCTAAGATCTAATAAACTGTTTATTAGATCTTAGGTTAATCTGAGCACTCATTCAAGTTTCAAGTAGCCATTAAAGAACTTCAGAACAACCCATGGGTCTACATCACATTTTACCTAACAACTACTCATTACTGGAATTATTCACTCAATGATCACAGGTGTAAATTTAGCAAATGACTGTGAAGGCAATCAATGGTTAAAGATAGGCCCTTTTCTTTAGTTACTGAAGATGTTGTCATAAGTGAGTTACTTACACAAGTGCTGTATTCTGTCAGTCTTGGGAGTAATCTGGGCAGTATGTGGAAAAACTGGAAAAGAAGGAGAAAGTATTCAGTCAATCAATAAGTTCATTGCTTTCACAGCAATAACAGCTGTGGTGTGTACTGATCATGAAGTTACATGACCAAATCTTATTTTTTTATAAGCTGGAATTAACAGGCATGAAAAATGCCTAACTTGAATCTTTGCATAAACCGAACTTTTTTTCTTGGGGGAGGGGGGGTCCCCAGAGATATCTGGCGCATACTGTCAAAGTCCTACCTGTTTCTTTTTATTAGTTCTATGAAACATACATTTGTCATTTTTCAACATTTTGTAAAGGGGATTCATCTAAAGCATTTCCAAGAATTTCACACCGTTTTGTGACAGATGTAGGATTCCTCTGTTATCAACCTCAGGCTTATTTATTTCTCTCCATGTATCAGTTATAAATTACACACATCAAAATCCTCACTCCTTCACATACCCCCAGTGACATAATATGTAAAAGCAGCAGCTTGTTGCAACAGAATTATTAGCTATTAATCAGCACTGTTTTCTGTCGCAATACGATAAGGAAAAACATCTCTCCGTGCAACAGAGGTATCTCAAGGACACAGTGGTTGTATCTGTCAGTTACGGTATTGGATGTTGGGGAAGTTCTATATCAGTGTATTATAGCAAAGTTGATAGAAACCAGTGACCAGCAAGTACCTTCATCTGTAACCAAATGGACCAACTACCTATTATTTGAACTTTCTGAAAAAACACCTACTAGAAAGTATCTACTACATGATTTTTTCTTTTTTTTTTTTTCAAAAAAAAAATAATAATAATAAAAATGGTAGATTCAGTTCCTGTTCTTTACAAACTGGAGAGACAAGGCTATGTTGAGACCCACAAAAGTAATGCAATGCAATATAATACATAATATATAATATAAACGGTTGAAGAGTAATGACACCTGCAACACAGTCTCCTATGAAAAAATTAGCTATTTTCAATCTGATGAAGGGACAACACCCACTTTATGCATTCCCACTCTCAAAACTTCTCTGAGTTCATGAGGCCCACATGTCACATGTAGTAGCCATTCCAGACTGGCACATGTCACTCTTTGTCAGGGGGCGGAGACTGGGGTCAGTGGGCGGAGCCAGGAGACAGACTGGGGTCAGTGGGCAGAATCAGGAACCAGAAACTGGGGTCAAGGGGTGGAGACTAGGGTCAGGGAATGGAGACCGGGGTCAGGGAGGGATGGGATCTAGATCAAGGGGTTACACAGAAACAATGATAAGGCACAATTCACAGAGTTAGCTGGACCTCCTCAGACCCTGCAGGGGATGCCAAAATGTGGGGTGGGAGAACAAGCCGCAGGAACCTAGGGGACTGGAGAGGGAGACCTGTGAGATGGGAGAACCTTATATTTGTATGATTTAGATCTTCTCTTTTAGTATATTACCTCTCTCTCTCTCTCTCTCTCTCTCTCTCTCTCTCTCTCTCTGTTGTGTGTATGTGCGTATATGCATGAGTACCTGCACGCACACGTACTCTAACACAAACCAGCCGGGCAACACATCTGTCCCTCTGTCACACTACTTCTCTATTCTCTATGTGCCTGTTTTACAATTCACTTGGATCCTGATGTCAAATGGCTCTTCAACACCAGCCACAAGAACAGTTTCTCAATTATCAACATACAAAAATAGAAAACAGATTCTGTATCATAACTTCCTATTGGTCTCACAGAGAGAAAACCAAGGGTTCAAGCACACAGAATTATTCTCTTTGGGATTCGGAGATTAATCTAAGACGTTTGCACCGAATCACCCCTTCTCATATCATTTCTTATGGCAGGCACACTTCAATGTAGAAAGATAGGGAAATTGCTGCAATTTCTGTACTAAAACACTAAATCATCAGGAAACGGTGATACCTGACCTATGACCTACGGTCACATGACCCTCTGCTACCAGGGGGCACTCTGTATCAAGAGATGTCAATTTTCCGAAATTTCTTACAGTATTCCCACCGATTTCGAGTTGTTTGCACCAATGAACCTTTCTACCTAAAAGTGCAACATTTAAAGGGTTTCTTGATCAAATTAATTATGAATACGGAAACAAGTGACTGTGTGACCTACAAAAACAATGAACATTTGTTTCTCTTTTCCCTTTTTCCGACCATTTTTTTTTTCGATTCATTAAATGATAAGCAAATTATTTATCTGAAAAATGTTTAGCATTTAAGAAATTCGAGAGCAATATCTGCAATAAATAGTCAAGGGTGAAAGCCAAGAGCTGTCTTTCAGTGGCTTTAATCACCATCTGTGAAAGATGTTACATTCTAGCCACTTTAATTTTTATTAATTACATGATTTCTATATATATATTTTTGGTATCTTCTAATACAGTTTTAGGGTGCTAACAACTGAGCATTTATCTTGGCAATCCCCTATAATAACCACAAAAATGAGCAAACAAATGAATGTTTTTTGGTGGTATTTGTTGAAGGACAAAAGATAAGAATATTAAATCATCATTACTAGTCCCCCAGAATTAAATAGACATCAGAAAGGCCAACAGTATGTGATTGGTGATATACATATCTCATGTTAAATTGTTTGTCGATTTAAAAAACAAACATGTACACTCAAGTTATCAAACAGAAATGAACTTGACAATGGAGAAACTTCAAAGAAAAACAATAAATAAATGTATAAATTACCAGTGCAAACCTATTAATAAACAGCATACACAATGCACTAAAAACAATGTAATTATGGAAGGAAATATCAACTCCGCAGGAGCTGATAACGGTGTCTCTCTACCATCTTTCCAGCAGTACATCACGTCCTAGCTTCACTCCCTCCCCCATACCGAGGAAGTTATAGAGGTTTAAGTGGGAGGAAATCATCGCCCAGCAGTATCAAGAGTTGATTCTGAGAGCTCTGCACCGACTCACCTTGTCAAACATCACCAAATATAACAGCTCTTCTCTCGCATATGCCAACCTGGCACAAATTTGTGCTCGTTGTATCACTTTAGTGCTTAATTTGTATGTTTTTTTTTTTATCTTTTTCTCATAGTTTCCTTAAATAGAACTGAAAACTTTTTTCTCTGGGTCCTGGTTGCATTCAAACCATTCTAGACAACTGACAGGCCTCCATTTTCATAATGGACATGAAAATCTTTATGAGATATCTATCAATATTTCTATATCACTTGCATTTCAATTCAAGATGAATTGTTAGGCAATCTTGTTTTCTCAATTATACTTCTAGCTTAATTATGTTTTTAACTTGTATGACACTTTTTCCAGTCTGTTGTTGGGTCACTCTTGGGAGATGCTTTGAAGAAACTACCTTTTTAAAAGAAAAAAGTCTGCTCTAAATCAAAATTTTGATCTCGTTTTCAGAAAAAAAAAAAACAAAGCCTCCTTTGAAATTGCTGGCTACACGTCTATTTTCAGTTAAGAAATCATCACTTTACATTTATAATGTCTGATGTATCAGACATAGACAAAGAACAGCCATTTTGGCCAGAAAAGGTAGCTTCTGGTCAAATTCAGATCTAGATTCTATACAACATACTTCAGTCCATAAATGAGTTAAAAAACAGTTTTCAGAAATAGAACCTTGAAATTATTGGCTACAGGACTACTAAAACTTGTAGTGTATATGATGCCACAACAAGCCTGATATAAACTTGAAAAGCTGAATAGTTTCTTCTGTGGAGTTAAATCAAATATTAAAATATTCATAACTAGAAACAATGGCAATTATGATAAATATCAAAAGATATTCCAGTATCACTTACAGATCAATTCCACAAAACAGAAACAAAAACTAAATGACTAACCTGGTATTTTGCCTTCAGCCAGTCAAGTATGGGTACTTCCAAAGAAAATATCTGCAATCTAAAACGAAAAACAGAAACTTAACAACAATACCATAATTCTACTTCACAAACAATATCGCCGCATATTACCCCTACCAAATAGGCTCAGAATCAGCTGTAAAAACAATCAAAATTTTTACATGCAATATATCTTTTCAAGCAAGCCATATTCAATGTGTTTTTGATAAGTAAAAAGCCTTATTCCGAACCCATTACAACCATTTAAATTCCTCTCTGAACTCGGAGGATTGCTCCCCCACTTGGCTTTCGTTAACTTTTTCCTTCTTCTGAATAAATTCTGATGACGAGGAGCTAGTTTCTGATTAGAGTTGAAAAACACGGACTGGTGTTTGTCTATAATCAAGGTTTTCTTAAGAGTATTTAAAGAAATAGTTTTTTCTCTTTTTTTGCATTAATTTGGATGGGGTATGACTAACGCAGTAACACCTGTGGTTAAATAGTTTCATTGGTTTTTAGAAGTTGCTTATAACTTTGAATTCTGGATACCAGTAATAAAACTGAAACGGTACTCAGTGTGTGTGTGTGTGTGTGTGTGTGTGTGTGTATGTGTGTGTAAATGNTTTTTCTTTTTTTTTGCATTAATTTGGATGGGGTATGACTAAGGCAGTAACACCTGTGGTTAAATAGTTTCATTGGTTTTTAGAAGTTGCTTATAACTTTGAATTCTGGATACCAGTAATAAAACTGAAACGGTACTCAGTGTGTGTGTGTGTGTGTGTGTGTATGTGTGTGTGTGTGTGTGTGTGTGTGTAAATGCATGTCTTTGTATTATCACATTTGTGTGCATGCAGTATTATAAATGTTCAAAATGGAAATGCATTACACCAATAACAAAACCTATTCCTTCAGACACTTACATGCTTCAGATGCAGCAAAACTGTCAGAAATGTAAAAACAAATCTTCTATACCATGTGGCCCAACCTGCAAAGAAAGAGAAAACATTTTTAATTATCACTGCATAAAAATACATTTGGTTAAACCATTTTGAAATGTAACCAATTTATATTATTTGGGTACACCTTGTGTCAGTAGTTTATGTCAATGAGGTCTTATATCTATCTGGATGTCACTCTCACCTGTCATGGCTGAAAATGATCAGTACAGGACACATCAGTAGGTCTTAACTTGGACAATTCACACACAGTCATGTGTCTCACAGCACTACACTAAATAACTAACACATCAAAAGTAATGCATAACAAGCATACTGGTCATATCCTAAATCCAAAATACCTTCATTGAAAGCTTGCAACCAACAGAAACAATTTTAAAGGAGCCTTCGACGAGACAACTTCATGACAACAAACAAGGGTTCTCTGACTCACCTCCACAACCAAATTACACTCTACCTGACCAGTCGTAACATCTGCCTGAAAACTACCTCTATCCCTCTCCCGTGTCCTATCGCCTGGGGTGCATGCTTCATACGACCATTATCTACTTGTTCATCTTGTACGACAACAAAACACCTATAATTTGGGGCTGAATGCTGTACCAGAAAAAAAAAAAGAAATACACAAGATTTTCTTTAAAAACTGGGACCATACAGCTTGGATGGTTGTTCTGACTGTACATATGATGGCTAGATAATAGCAACAGATTTAAGAAGTGAATCGATAGCAGGTGTAGGTACACTATAAATATTGTCCATTTATAAAATGATTGTGACACTTTTGGGAAACCTAATACTGTCCTGCAGGTTTTTTATGTTTATTACTATTCTGACTGATTTATTTTTAGTTCTGATTTAAATTTTTCCAATTTATTCTATTTAATATTTTATTGCAATTATCTTATGCATCAAAACCAATTCAAACCTTTCCTGCTTTTAACTCAAATACTAAAGCCAATTCATGTAATTATCATTACATTATTTGAAAGTGTACAGACATATATGTTTGTGTACACAAGTGCTTTGTTTGTATTGGATCTACTGTGTTTATTGCCACATTTTCCTGAATAAACAAACAAAAAACCTGGAAGATGGATAAATTTAACAATGCACACTTAACACCTTCAAACTAGCTTGTTAATCCAAGCAGATCTTGTGAAATTCTGATGGCACCTCTATTGCTTGCACTACCTGAGCCAAGTTGACAGAAGTTTACTGATTCCCCAAACAGAATACACAACTCCCCAAGGGCTTAAGCTCAACCCTCACTCACCATTTCAATGCCACCCAGGGTCTACTACCATTTTTATCTCCCCCACACTCTGTCATCCTNGGAAAGTGCACGACGGCGACGGCGACGACAGCGACGACAGACGCAGGTGATGGCAATATGTACAGACACATCTGTGTCTGTACATAAAAAGAAATACACAAGATTTTCTTTAAAAACTGGGACCATACAGCTTGGATGGTTGTTCTGACTGTACATATGATGGCTAGATAATAGCAACAGATTTAAGTGAATCGATAGCAGGTGTAGGTACACTATAAATATTGTCCATTTATAAAATGATTGTGACACTTTTGGGAAACCTAATACTGTCCTGCAGGTTTTTTATGTTTATTACTATTCTGACTGATTTATTTTTAGTTCTGATTTAAATTTTTCCAATTTATTCTATTTAATATTTTATTGCAATTATCTTATGCATCAAAACCAATTCAAACCTTTCCTGCTTTTAACTCAAATACTAAAGCCAATTCATGTAATTATCATTACATTATTTGAAAGTGTACAGACATATATGCTTGTGTACACAAGTGTTTTGTTTGTATTGGATCTACTGTGTTTATTGCCACATTTTCCTGAATAAACAAACAAAAAACCTGGAAGATGGATAAATTTAACAATGCACACTTAACACCTTCAAACTAGCTTGTTAATCCAAGCAAATCTTGTGAAATTCTGATGGCACCTCTATTGCTTGCACTACCTGAGCCAAGTTGACAGAAGTTTACTGATTCCCCAAACAGAATACACAACTCCCCAAGGGCTTAAGCTCAACCCTCACCCACCATTTCAATGCCACCCAGGGTCTACTACCATTTGTATCTCCCCCACACTCTGTCATCCTACCCTTCATTGTCCTACCACTTGTAAAATCTCTACCAGTATCTCCTATACAAATCAGTTTCTTACTTCAGCACCGACACACCATATACTTCACACTGTCAGAGCATAGCTTTCTAATGTCAAAACCTGCAAGAGGGTGCAAAAAAAAAGGAGAAATTGTGCTATTCACAACCCGATGTTATTATATCCAATGTGCCCCATCCAAAGACTGTGATTGTTTTAATATAAAAAGAAAAAGATTCCCCCACCGTTTCACGTGGCTGTGCCTCCAATTGTTTTGTATGTGCAGACAGGATAATGATGATAAATTACGTGTAGAAACAGTTACGAGTTACAAGTCAATACAAAATGAGGACTGCCTATTAGGGAAACGCTCCAGCTCCCCCGGCCATTATTGAGTGATTTTGGTAGCTTCTCCTATTCAGAAGGTAGATGTTGAATTTTCATGTTTTACAACAGGTCGCGTTTAAGGTGAAGGCACGTCAATATTGTACACGATATGCACAATTTCTTTCATCCTGCAATAAGCTTGGATTGCAGTTTTGGTTTTCATGTACTTTTTTATTGTGTTCAAAAAGTCTTTTTTTTTTTTTTACAAAAAGAAAAAAGCACATGCACCTAGACTTTTAACTTCTTCTAACAAGTGATGCAACAAAATTTGAATTTAAAAACATTGGATTTTTTGACAAATTGCCCCTTTTCACTATAAAGATATTTATGGCAATTTATGTCAGATGCTATCCTGAATGAAATAAGTAAATATAAATGTCTATGCCTAATTAAATGTCTACATATATACATAATTCATTGAATTTATTTCTTCAATTTGAAAGCAAAATTACCAATTTCATAAACTTTTGTAGTTCACTGTAGATAAAAGAAGTATCTAAATCATTCACAATGGCTGCGACTGGTACAAGTTATAGTCAATAACCCTGCTTGTAACTCTAACTTGGGTGTAACAATTTGGGTTTGATCCATGTGCAATGTTGTGCAAGTGCTGATAAGGCAGTGTATGTAGACTCTCGTCTCCACAGTCTGCAAGCTTTAATGAAGCCGACGTAATAATCTGAGCTTTTTTTCCACTTATTTTGGCACAGCGGTTGTTTCGTCATCTTATTACAGTTGGTAACAACATTATTTTTTTATCTTCCTAACATGTCACAAAAATAAAAAAAAAAACATTCTGAGTATCCCTGACCTCTATTATCAAATGATTAATATAATAACCAATACAGATTGGTGAATAGTTACATGGCAAAATCTGACTTGAAGTTGTTTTTTATTTCAAACAGAACTTAATACAACATATCCACTCAAACTACAATGATCAGAAATCCAAGCTCGAATTGCAATATATTCTGTTCCAAAGTTTGCACATAGAGCATTGCAAATCTTTACACAATTCCATCATTAACTTTATCACTATCTTAAGGGTTATCCATCTTCATCAACAGTTTCACAAAGTCTACAAAAAGTAGACATTTTCCAGAATCCCCCCTCCCCCAATCCCACTTCAGAGATTACAAGGTGAAAGGCTTATAAAGATGAACATTGACAGCAATTTGGATCATCATTTTTGTTCTTTTTCAAAAGCCTACCAAGGGGATGTTTTGATTCCCCCAGCCATCCCTACCCCATTGTGTTAGTTGTGATAATGTATCAGAGAGTGCAATGTGTTGGGATGAGATAAAAAAAACTCAGTATTTCAAAACAAAATCTTCCCCTCTTTCTCCCTCATGAAAAGACAACATGCACTGTGATCAAAGAAGAACAATGTTAGCCAACCTGATGTTTTTTTTTTTTTAATATTTTGACAAATTAGAATGAAGCTTTGCCAATAAAAAATGACAACAAAACAAGAATAAACCATATCCAATGTATCCCCAATCCTATGATGAATAGAGTTAATCTTTTAAAATATTGCAATAATTCCATTACTGATATTTTGAGCAAAGTTAAGGGTGAGTTTTTTTTTTTTTTTTTTTTTTTTTTTTTTTTGCATTCAATTTTTTACACTGATTAATTACCATGTCAAGATTTCATTGCTAACTTATAATGAACTGTCTCTATAGAGTAGTTCCAATACCATTCAGGGATTGAAATACATTGTTCGATACAGCTTAAATTTGAGTAAAAATGCTGTTCAAACTGGCGTCTCCACACTTTTGTTCAGAATGCATAACTAAAACTCTGTCAACAAAATATTTCAAATGATAAAAATACTTAACAGCTTATAGCAGTGAAATGGAGTCGACAAAGGAATTTGACATATTTTTCTTCCTATAAGACTTGGTACAAAAATTTGCCAATTCATGCTATACACTAAGTTTCACGAAAGGGATCAGTTCTCTCCCTTTTCAAATGTTACTAATGTTACACTACTTTGGCATACATACTAAATCAATGAAAACAGCATCTTAAAAAAAGGTTTACTGTAAACAAACTATCAGCACACCTACTAAATCTTTCCAAATCTGCCACAGAAGAGAACTCTAACAGTTGTTCTTCTTTACAAGATATAATCTATACAGTCAATATACTTACTCTTTTAGGTACTTCAGAACTGCAAACACGATCCCAATGTTGAAACTGCGGCACTCACATCACACCACCAACCAATCCAAAAGGCATTTCAACTACTGTCTGACAGGTTGCCATGGTAACCACATTTTTTGAATCAACCGAGGAATGAAGACTTTATGCTTCGCACCTTTGCGCCTTGTCAGTTTTGATGATTTGACTCGGAGAAAGGCAGCAGCTTATCGCTGAAACAAAATTGTGCCCAGCTTGGTTACTATGGCAACCTGGTTTCAGTTTCCATGGCGCTAGCAACTCCTGATTAGCCACAGCCTGGCTGTAATTTGGCCCAAGTGGCTGCAGGCCCCGTTTTAT